TTTTTTTTTTTTTGCAAGGTAATATGATTTAATAATATAACTTAGATTAAAGGACAAATAAACTAAACATAAATTTAAAGCAGAAAAAAATCGCAAGACATAATAAATTATATTATTTATGAAAAATTAAAATATTTTTAACATGGTATCTATATCTATAATCTATAATGCATAATCTATATCTATAATCTATCTATAATAATATAAAGAGGTTGTTGGAAAAATACAAAAAAAGTAAGTTTGACTTCAAAAAATAATCCTTTGACTTACTACTTTAAGTAATAATTACTACTTTAGGTAATAATCAAGAAGGTCCCACAAATTAAATTAATTATTAATTATTAATTAACATAAAAATACGGAATATCATAAATCAATCCTTCCATTAAGTAATTTTAAACTAATATAAAGAGGTTGTTGGAAAAATACAAAAAAAGTAAGTTTGACTTCAAAAAATAATCCTTTGACTTACTACTTTAAGTAATAATTACTACTTTAGGTAATAATCAAGAAGGTCGTCCCACAAATTAAATTAATTATTAATTATTAATTAACATAAAAATACGGAATATCATAAATCAATCCTTCCATTAAGTAATTTTAAACTATTTTTAGCTGATTCTGTGCAAATTTTGTGTTCGCATGTGCATTGCCTTCCAAGAATTTTCGGATTTTGTTACCTAATTATGATGATTTCTCTCATATTATGCTGATTTTTTAGTTGATTCTGTTTTTATGTTGATTCCTTTTTTATTTTTCCAAAAACATCTAATGTTAATAACAAAAAAACTATAAAATCGCATAAATCGGCTTACCAAATTCTCTTACCGATATTTTGCCATATATATAAAGCTATAAAATCGCATAAATCGGCTTACCAAATTCTCTTACCGATATTTTGCCATATATTAAGAGATAAGAATTATCTTTTATTTTGCCAACTAATCATTATTATATAAAACATCTCATTTTTAATAACAAAAAAAGCTACAAAATCGCATAGTGAGGCTTACCAAATTGTCTTATCGATTTTATGCCATATATTAAGAGATAAGAATTATCTTTAATTTTGCCAACTAATCATTATTATATGAAAGATATCCGATTGGAATAGACGGTGATATTCATAATAAAATAAATCGGGTATTGTCCCTTAAAGAAGATTAGTACAAGCAATAAATCCGTAAACATCCATAAAAATCCACAAGAATCCTAAAGTTAATCATTACTATATAAATATTAACAAACTTGAACAACATATATTCTACATCATACACATCCCGCACTACAACTTTTTTTACGAAGCTTTTCAACATCATCTCAACGTGCCTTTGAATTTTGGAGTCATCAGGATATCCACAGATCCAATAAGTCACCAATCAAGCTACACATAATTAGGATGTTCCAACGAGTTGAAGACGTACGCAATTACCGGAATTTTCTAGAGATTATCTTTCACGATTCGGAGGTAATATGTTCACACATTCATACTGCATTTAATTTAAATTTAAAGTTATTTTATTGTGCTTATTAAATTATTTAATAATTTAATATGTATTGTCTTAGAGATTACGAATTACTGGTATAATTCGACCTGTGAATATCCAAAAATTCGTCGGTGATATTGAAGAAATGTGGTAAGTATGTCTTGACAAACTATCAAGTTGAAAGCAATATTGACATCTACAAATCGACTATAGGAAAATGGAGGATCATTATCCATGGCCAAACCAAGATTGTCAAATTGCAAATATATAATTATTTATATGTTATATTTGTATAAATTATATTAACGTATTTGTTGTTTATTCATGAATTATTTTTCCCCTAAGAAACCAGTGTTTAGTCATGGTCAGTTGTATGTTGTTGTCTCCCGTGTTGCAAACAGAAATGGTTTGAAAATCTTAATTTGTGGCGATGATGATGTGTCAACGAATCAAACCATGAACGTTGTATATAAGAAAAGTGTTCAATAATATATAGATTATTTTTTATTTATTTTCTTAAACTTTTTATTATTAATGACATGATGTTTCTGTTAGTTTGAACTGTATGAGAAATTTGCTTTTTAAAAGGGACGGAGATAATAAACCCCCGTGCATCGCACAGGTACTGTACTAGTATATATAAAAAGAATTACCATTTTTCCAAAATAGTATGTTAAATTTTGGCCAGCATTAATTACCTACTATTTTTAGTAACTTTTTTTATTTTTATTTTTCTAAAATAGGGTAGCATTAAATGTTGCCCTTAAATTATGGAATTTGTTACTTTTGTTTTCCGAAAATTTATAAAGCTACCTTACATAAACTTTTTTTTTAATTAACGGTTGAATAATTGGTTTAGGTTGTAGTTTGATTTTTTAACAAAAAGAAAAAATGAAATTAGATTTTTACCTTCTCAATTTTATCTTTTTTTTTTCCGATTATTTGAAAAAAAAAAACAAAAAACAAAAAACCAATTGACTTAGAAATCAATGTATGTACATATTTTTTATGGTATGTCTTTTCTTCCATAAACGTCCCAAGTGATATTGGAATTAAAATTTGGTACATCATTTCATACAGGAAACACATGCCCATGATATTTTGAATTTATTATACATCAATATTTATATCTATAAATTTGGTAATCTTTTTGAAAAAAATAATAATCGGAAAAAACCCGCCAATATAGCTTTAATTTCGAATTTCAAAATATTTTGATTTTATTGTATAGTAATATGATAAATAAAACGGAAACGATTTTAAAAATTTATTGAGAATTTATAAAATTTATTTGTTTTGTTTACAAAAATAAATAATTTGCTTAATTTTTAACAAATCAATATTTGAAACTTTAAGCCATGTCTGATGCACGGGTTTCCCCTTAAAAAAATG